GGGGGGGGAACAGGCGGTGTAGTTACCTCGATTCACGACGCTCATGGGGAGACTGTGGGCGGAGAAGAGCAGCACCACACCGCTCCGGCGATCCTCGGGGTAGGTCTTGAGCTGGTCCTCGATGTTGCGCGCAAAGGCTTCGACCAGCCCGGGGTGGGTCGGCCACCGATCGATGACACTCCAGTCGATCGAGCCCGCGGGATCCACGCCGCCACCGCGCTTACCCTCCAGTCGCGTCTGCCACTTCCACAACTCATTGAGGGAGCTCCCCGTCGTCGAGCACGAGTACTGCGGGTATTGGGTGAAGGCGACGGCGCGACCGCCCTTGCCCCGGCCGAACCCGTCGTCCAGCAGGCGCGTGTACATCTCCTCCGTCAGGGGGTTGGCGTAGCGGAAGGCGACGTAGGGCTTGTGCGGCGCCGTCTCGGGGTGGATCTTGTCGAGGACCTTGCACATCTCCTCGCACTGGTATTCGGACCACTTGCGGATGGGCGAACCGCCGCCAATGTCGGCGTATTGCTTTTGGATCTTGGGGGTTCGTCGCTTCGCAATGAGGGGGCCGAGGTAGTTTTGGAACCGTCCGAGGGGGATCAAGTCGCCGTCGGCCTATGGATGGAGGAGTTTGGTCAGAAGAGAGACGGGCGGTCTTTCGGTGGGGACATGACATGCAACGTACAAATAACCGGCTCAGGAAGTCTTCCACCTCGCTCGTCTTCGATGGGCCACCCATGTTCAAGAAGACCATGGCCGTCGGACCTTTCGACCCGGTGGCATCCTGGGTGACCGGAGGAACCGCCGTCGCCAGGTGATGGCGGGATGGTTGGCTCAGTCGAGGGTTGCGAACGGCGGGCCGCACGAGTTGCCGAGGAAGCGCGAGGGGACGGAGCGCCATGATGGGGTTGAGGTTTGGGGGAGAGAAATCAAAGCGTTGTTAGATCATGAGACTCAGTATAAACAATTAGACAAACACAAGCGAAGATTGACTAGTGTTCGATGGGAAACGGATTGCGGTACAGTCGAGAGTTGCGGAGTTGAAGCTGATCTGGCGGACCTCGGAGGCAATCCGGCGCGGGAGTCCAGTCGGCCAATCATGGGGGAGGGGGAGTCATCATCACACGTGATCATCAACATCCAAAGAGGAATCGTGTCCGCAGTGGAGCATCTGTTCCTTGGGATCATGATCGAGCAAGTAGAGCAAGTTGAGACAATTCAAGCTACAGTCACCATGTGGTGTTGGAAAAGTACACAGTGTGCTAGAATCTCTAAGGAATTTAACCAGAGTTGATTGCTACTGCTGAATGCTCCCGTGTCAAATCAACCCTAAGACGAAGACCAGAGCTCGCCATCTGGCATGCTTGCAGAACCGTACGGAGTACTAGGGTCCTCTATCATGAGAATAGATCCTACTATCAGAAGAACTCATATTGACCAGTCAGATGAACCAGATAGCGGCATCCTTGCCGGGATAGTCTGCAAGACTGGCACACTCAAAAAAACAAAAGATATATCTATACATAGAAATCGTATATTTATATCTATATCTATAGATAAATATAAAAAACGCCCGAGGCGGGGCTCGAACCCGCGACCTTGGGATAGCACCAAATCTATATCGGACGAAAGATATACAATCCAGAACTGATCAATCCGTGAGAATAAAAGTCCCACGCTCTTCCAACTAAGCTACCCGGGCGGTCCATGGTGGTCGGCTGTCGGTTGTGGGGTATTTAACTATCGTTGTATTGGGGGTGGATTGAGGGGTTTGGTTTGTTGATTGACTGACTGTTTATTGATTGACTGTTTATTTGTTGTCTGTTGATGTGTATTGTTTGTTGATAGAGAGCAGTGGAGGGGATACCTATGTAATGTAGTTTCTTGGGATGTGTTATACCGTTTGTTTGTGTTTTGTAGATCTATCTATAGAAAGACAAGCGATTCGTCCTCAATCAGGATATGACTCCAGCACATCCAATCTTGCGTTCGCCCGGTCAGATCGGCTATCTTTCCTTTTGTCCCGCGCCGAAAGAGGCAGAAAAAAGAGCCTTCTGCCTCTAGTTCAGTCGTCCGTGACTGTACCCAACGTGTGGACAGAACTTTCCAACAAAAGAAAAGAAAAGAAGAAAAAAAAAAAGAACAAAAAATAAACCAAAGAAAACAACCCGTCTAGATAACGCCGCTCCGATGGCTGGTGAGCTCGTCGGGCTAAAGGCCCTTGGTGACCACCAAAAACAGTTCAACGAGAGAAGCAAAAAGTCGACTGGTATATACAGTGGAGGATAGTCGTCGATCAACACTGCCCATATACCTGACAGTAGCAGAGCTCCTCGTCCGGACAGTAAACCGACTCCCGGCCGAAGATGACATGCCAGAGGAACTCCATGACCCGACCACTCTTGGCGTCCGTCTGATCCGTGTCGATCACCCACTGTCGGATCTTGACGTAGTCGTCCACCGGCCGCTGGCGGACCTGATCGCGTGAGACGGCAAACTGCGCGCAGCAGGCGGCCCCGACCTGCTCGGGCATGCGGAGGAAGCGCTGGGGCGGGTTGACGGACAGCGAGGGGTTGTCGGCGAGCGCGGAGAGGCCCGTCGCGTTGAGCGGCGGGGTGCTGGTGCCCTCGAAGATCTCCTCGAAGACTTGCTCGGTGACGTGCGCGTTCCGGCGGTGGCCGGCTTTGCACCCCGGGTTCCAGTTGCAGCGGAGGTTGACGTAGCCGTTGCGCTGGACAAAGTCGAGCTGCAGGGCCCGCATGGCGATGGCGTTGTCGTGGAGGGGCGCGTCGACGTGCCAGGCGAGGATGAAGCCGGAGCGGTGGGAGTGGAGGAAGGCGATGGTGGCGGGGAGGCGGTCGTAGTGGTCAATGATGTAGGTCAGGTAGGCCATGGCTTCGTGGCCTTTGTTGAAGGGCGTGGTGAGGCTATGTTCGTTGTCGGTGGTGTTTTGGGAGGGATTGACGATGTAGATGGCCCGTTGCCAGCTGTGGATGTCAATTACTTTCCTCCTTTGAAAAATACAAGATAGAAAAAGAAGTCAAACATACTCGGGCAGTTCTTCTTGCACCCAATCCGTCGGCTCCTCCTCCAGCTTCGCCATGACGATGACCTTGTCATTGTTCGGCTCTCCCGGGGACGGGGTTTTCCATCCTTGAGGGGCATCCGAAGGGTACCTGGAGTGGTACCATTCGGTGAGGTACGCGCCCGCGCGATATTGATTGCAAATATCCTCAAGGTGAACCTTCAAGAGGTACAGGGGGAAGAGCAGCAGCATGACGCCACAGATGGCAAATCGGGAGCCACATTTCATCCTGAGGTCGGGGGTTTAGCCCCGGGGGGGGAGGGGGAGAGGGACGGTTGAGAGCGATTGGGCCGGGTTGTTCATGCACCCTCGATCAGTGGTTGGGAATTTATGCCGGAGAGTTGACGTGCATGCGCGGAGTGCGGCGGAAAATGCAGCGGGAAGTGCAGCCGGAAGATGCGCGAGGGCTGCAGAGAGAGAGCCGGAGAGGAACGAGGCGGGACGAGGAGGGGAGAAAGGGAGGGGAATGTTTAAAAGGTTAAAAGGTAAAAGGTCAACGGATTGGGGAGGGAAAAAAAAAAGGTTTCGGGGAAGTGGAGAGAAAATGGTGGAGGCAAAGGAGGGACCACAAAGGGCCAAAGAAGGGGTTCGGAAATTCCACCCCAAAGAATAGAGACCACGATAGAGACCACGGGTGGACGTCTTCGGCTTTCATTAGTGGGACCTCTCCCAGTCACGATCATTGGGTTCGCATTGATCCCGATGCCAAATGACAGGACTGCAGGATGAAGGATCCAGCTGCAATTGAGCATCGAATTGAGTGAACAAGGTTTGAGAAAGCCGTGGGATTAGGAGGCTGTACAGGGACGATCGCACAGGGATAGCAGCCGATTGAACCAGGGTCCGGGCGATCATTGCTGGTTGGAATGGGTGGAGTTGGACCCTGTGGCTGATTTCTCCCTGGGTCTTTGCGACGGAAGTCCTCCGTTGTGAGATTGGGTGGCATCATCCTCAACTCGGTAAGGTCTACAAAAGTAGTCTGATCAGGAGTCAAGACCGAGTGATGGTATTGGTAGAGATACTTCCTAGAGTCCCAACGGAGGACCCCGTCGAGTCCCTAGAGTCCCTAGAGTCCCTGAGTCCTGGAGCCCCTAAATGGTAAGACATTTAGCGGCTGCGGCGGGGAAGCTTGGCGGTTTAGGCGGTTTCAAGTGGTGGAATGATTCCAGGGTTAGATTGTACGACATCATATTATGATCTTTATTATTTATATTTATTATTTAAAGTGATTATTTATATTTACGATCTATAAATATTATCTATGATTTACGATGATGAATATTGGAATTGAATCAGAACAACAATCAATTGTTGTATCAATTCTCCCATCTATTACGGGGAAAGAAATGAATAACGAATGAATAAGATTATTTCAGCACGTGGCAAATGCCGAGTCAACGGGGGATGACGTCGTGCGGGAAAGACCGGACTCTTACCAATATCCTGGTCTCCATATCAACCAAGTATTGTCTTACTCTACTTACCTAAAGAGCTCCAAGAGATCCTCTCTTGTAGACTGTAATGTCCACCAATATCTACCACCATACAACCACAGTCAAGTTTCAGTGCCAACAGACCGATCAAGACAGACAGGGGCAGACGGGAAGACCCTGCTATCCGTGCACTGGACTAGGATTCACCCCCGACGATCGGCATCCGTATCGCTCGCACAACTCATCAGGGACTACCCTATCATACAGTGTTGGTAATGATCGATTGACAGAGGGGAGGAATTTTTGTAATGTCGGATATATCAGGGTGACTTGTCTTCTGACGGGGGTTAACTCGCTGAAGTGTATGGTTGGGTCTTGATAGAGGAACTACTGCTACAGTAGTGGGGGGTTTCTACGGTAGGTTTGGGCGGTAGACTACGGAGTAGACTGCATGCTATTTTTAGTTGATTGACCATCTACCTACGTCGGAAGAGGAGATTTGCTGATGATCGTTTAGAATACTATCATGGGGCGATAGGATACAACAGGTATAGCCTGTTCAACGACTATATACAATGGCAACATAGCACACTGATAATCAACTGCAGTCCCGCTGCATATCAAATCACGAACTGCCTTCATCTTCGCTTTCCCCCTCTCCTCCCCGCCTCCGCGCCCGTTCCCGCTTCCTCTCCAACAACTGATTCAACTTCTTCGCCGTATTGAAAACACCCCCGGTACTCGCCCCACACGCCGCACACGACGGATCCTTCCGATACCGCTTCAGCGCGCACGCCTCGCAGAAATAATGTCCGCACTTGGTCGTGATCGGATACTGGTACGGCTTCTCGCAGAGGATGCACGCAAACGGGATACTCTCCAGCAGCGCCTCGTCTTCCTCCTCCTCGTCCCCCTTCGTCGCCTCCCCCCCACCACTTCGCCGCGACACCACCTGCCCGCTCACCTTCTTCTTATCCCCATCCGTCGCCTTGTCCCAGTCCTGATCCAGCTCCCACCCCTGCTTGTAGTCCTCCCGCATGTGCGCGTAGATACACGAGTCACCGTACCCGCAGAATCCCGTCTTCTTGTAGTCCTTGCACACGTTGGGCATGTAGTCCATGAAGGTCACCGCGCGGACGTTGGTGGGCGCCTTGACCGGGCCGAACTTCTTCCCCGGGGCGTCGGGATTCTTCTGAATGAAGGATTGGTAGTTGGCGGCGCCCTTGTAGGTGCCGTCGGGGGCGGACGGCGTTGTCGTCGTCGACCCCCGCGTCGTCCCGAGCAGGTTCTTCGCGTCTAGCTCTGTCTCATCGTACCAGTTGGACTGCTTGGTGGCGTCGTTGGTGGATTGCAGTGGTGCGGGCGCGACGCTCGCGGGCGCGGCATCCTCGACTGGCCGGGTTGCCCCGGCGGTGGTGGAGGAGGCCGTCACGGCGGCGTTCTTGCGACGCCGCTTGATGCGCTGGCCTTGATCATCATCGGAGGAGGTGAAGCCGGAGTCGGAGTCGGAGGCGGGAGGAGGGGCTTCCTTTTTGCGAACGGTGGCTTTTGCTTTGGCGGAGCGTTTTTTGAATGTGACGGGAGCGTCTGCCATGATTTTAGTGTTGGATGGATCTATCCTAGCTAAACCACAGTCTAGTTAATGGAGAGCTGGGGATATGACGGTGGCGCGAGAGATCTCCGGCGAGCGAGAATGACCACGTGATCTATGACTAAAGTATATCACATGACTTGCACATGACAGAGGGGAAATGACAGATCACATGATCTCCTGCCACGTCACGGGACGGCCAGGGGCGGGGGTGTCCATCAACCAATCAGAGACGCCCTTTGGGACGGTCATCCACCCTGTCAGGTACGGAAACGACTATGGACAGACTATGGATTAGTGGGAGACGGGCGGTCCGATCGGACCTGTATTGGGTGGTAAAAATACAGGAGATCATTCGATCTTGGGTCACATACATCACTTCCTGTCCACAGATCATTCATGGAGAATATTGGCATCATTTGATCCTGTGTAGACAGTTGAACATATATTCCTGTGAGTGGATGGAAAGGGGTGGATGTATCAGATCAATATGCGCCGGGATGCATCTCTTCCCGCCTCATCTCTTGTCTCCTGTTTCCTAGTGTCCCTGAAGGATAGTGATGAGGAATAATTGAACCATTGATTGTAATCTC